TTTCTTTTCTTTTTTAATATTTTATTTATTATTTTTGTTTTATGTGTATGCGTGTATTGCCTGCATGTAGGTAAGTGCACCCATGTCATGCAATGCCCACGGAAGACAGAAGGGGCTGTTGATACCCTGGAACTGGAGTTACGGACAGTTGTTAGCTGCCATGTGGGTGCTGGGATTCGAACCCAGGTCTTCTGCAAGAATAGTCAGTGTTCTTAACCACTAAGCCATCTCTTCCAGTCCCTCTTTACCCTTTTTAAAGATGGAAACTCGGGCTGGGTGTGGTGGCGCACGCCTTTAATCCCAGCACTTGGGGGGCAGAGGCAGGCGGATCTCTGTGAGTTCAAGGCCAGCCTGGTCTACACATTGAGTTCCAGGACAGCTGGGGCTACAGGGAGACCCTGTCTCAAAAAGACCAAAAAAAAAGAAAACCCCAAAACAAACAAAAAACACCAACCAAAAAAAAAAAAAAATTACAAGATGCTACCACAATCTGTATTGTAATTATCGTTGCATATCTCCCCACGGTTAAAAATAGACTGCCCTCACCATGAGGAACAGAATTACCAACTCAGGCCATCTGAGGTGTTGCTCAGTTGAAAATTGGGGACCAAATATGGACTGCCAGTAAAAGCAGATCTAGACTAATTGATGCTACTTCGTGGGTGTTGGGTGAATTTAGAAGGATGGATGAGAATTGACTCCAGAGATAGGAAGGGGAACAGTCCAGGAAAAGGGACTATCCAGTATACACAGAGGCCTGGAGATGAAATAGTTCATGTGTCCCAGACAGAACTCTGGGAGCTCTGTGTACAAGAGAACCAACGACAGTGGATTCAGAAGAGAAGTGGAGGTGCTCAAAGCTGGTGAGCCTTTGAGCCAAGCCAGAGTTTAGGCCCACAGATGGAGATCCCTGCAGGGCTTGGCAGGTGCTTAATAATGGAGTTTGTCACAGGGTTAAGAGATTCAGAGGAGGACAAACAGGAAGCCTCAGGGCAGCAGTATCTGACACCCTGTGGGCAGGACTGGGAGAGAGGGCTGGGGGGGGGGCCACTGGCCATCCAGATCTTGATTCTGTTTTTTACAAGACAACTTCTTCAACAGTAGGAGAATCCTGTGCTAAGACCAGGGCAGGGTAAGGGTTTCTTTTCTTGGCACCTTCTGCTGCTAGAGAGAAAGCCTCTGGGGTCAGCCCTGCTCCAGAGACTAAGCCCTAGATTCCTAGAGGAGGCCGAGGCAGAGACACACCAAGAGAGCAGCCCCTCTACTCTCCTTAGGGGAAGAGCTGATGCTGCCCTTGCTGGCTTGCCCTGAGCCTGGAGACTTCAGGGTGGTGGGACGTTGCCTAGGTGCTATGGCTCCTTCCTTGCTGGGCTGCAAGTTGTTTCTCTTGCCTTGCCCAGACAGTTGGGGCCTACCCAACACTCTGCCCTGTAACCAGCTTGTTCTGATGCAGAGAAGTTGCAAGTGTAGCATAACTTGAGAACACAGGTGCCTCACCTAGACTCTTTGGTACAGCCCTTGCATGCTTGCCACATGTTCTGAGACAGGGTCTTCCACTGAACCTGGAGCTCTCTATCTCAGCTAAACTGGATCTTCCTGCCTCTACCCAGCTCTGAAGTTACAGGCGTCTGGCTTTTTACGAGGTGCTAGGGCTCCATACTCTGGTTCTCATGCTTCCACAGCATACCGTTCACCCATGAGACCATCTCCCCAGCCTTGACGGTGTTGTTTTTAAAGCTGGGACTCACTCAATGTGTGTGTTGTCTCTTTAGCTTGCTTTGATGTAGTTCAGCTACTTGTCTATTTTCCTCTCAAGATGTTGATACTCTCTACAAGTTGAGCCTGGTGCTTTGTAGACCACTTCACATTCTGGATTGGCCTTCTTACTGCCTATGTTCCCCTGTGCCTCAGTTTTCCTATAAACCAGGATTCAGAACTCCAGCAGTCTTGGCAAATTACAGCCCTGCTTGCTGCTGTGGCAAATCAAGTCCTATTGGAATATGACCAGTCCACTTGGATATGAACTGTCTGTGGTGTTCTTGCCCTACCATGGGAGTTTTAATAGAATTGATGAGGCACATGACTGGAGGAGCCTAAAAACTACCCCTGGGTATAGTCATGTATGCCTTTAACACCAGCACTCAGGAGGTAGAGAAAGGGAGAACTCTGTGAGTTTGAGGCCAGCCTGGTCTACATAGCAAGTTTCTAGGCCAGCCAGGGGTACAAAGTCATACCTTATCTCAAAAAAAAAAACAAAACAAAACTATCTACCATTTTACAGAGTTTGCAGAGCCCTGGTCTTTGCAGACATGTTTACCAGTGTATTCAGCTAGTGTGATCTTTCCAGCGTGTGGCTTTTAGTCCCACTTGGAGTCCTCCAAAGTTCTGTGCAATCTGCCTCTCATCAGACTTCTTTCCTGCCACAGTGCCCTCACTCAGCCATGCTGATCTTCTTGATGTTTGTAAACTTGCCAAGCACTCATTTGCTGTTCCCTTTGCCCAGGACCTCTCTCCTTAACTTGAAGTGTTTGTGCAAATGTGAACTACATTGTGGTGCCTCCTGCTCCTGTATCTAGAGGTTGCTGCTTCCTTGCTCTTCATCAGTAGTCCACTCAGCAGCCACTAATTGAACTCAGAAATTGAAGCTGTCTCTCCATTATGTAGTACCATTCAGCCACTTCTATAGCATTAGGAATCAAAATTCAGCCGGACGTGGCTGGCGCACGCCCTTAATCCCAGCCCTTGGGAGGCAGAGGCAGGCAGATCTCTGTGAGTTCAAGGCCAGCCTGGTTTACATAGTGAGTTCCAGGCCAGCTGAGGCTACAGGAAGACCCTGTCTCAAAAACAAAAAAACAAAACAAAACAAAACAAAACCAAAGCAGGGGGCTAGAGAGATGGCTCAGCTGTTCTTGTAGAGGACCTAGGTTCGATTCCCAGCACCCACAAGGTGACTGACAACCATCCTTTGAGCTACACTTACATATATGCAGGCAAAGCATTCATACACAAAATAAAAATAAATATTTTCTTTAAAAAAAATGGAGAATGAAAACCCAAATCCCTGACTTAGTGGCACCTAGGAGTCAGAGTGGAATGGGCTGCCATCCTTCTTTCCCTCATTTGCCCCACTCACGTCTATCGGTGCCAACACACTGGCTCCTTCTCTGCCCTCTGCAGATGTCTCAGGTTCTTTCTTGCCCCAGGGCCTTCGCTGTGCTGTTCCCTCTCCCTGAATTCCTTTTCCTCCCAATCCTCTGTTCCCTTCTGTATCCTCAGTGCCCAGGTCATTGCTGGCAGGGTGAATCCTTACAACAGCCCTTTTAGGTACTTCCTCCATGCTAGGCGCTTCTCTAGATGCTTCGTATCCAGTGTCTCATGTCCCCTTTGCATGACCAGCTAGTGCCTGCTTTACAAGTCAGCCCACCAAGATGCAGGAAGGTTGAGTGACTGCCTGGTGCTGCCATGGAAGAAACAGAACTGGGTTCGTCTCAGACCTTGGATGGTGAGTCTGCTCTTCACCCACCGTCGGACCTGCAGTTTCTGTAGGAGACAAGCAGGCTGGAGGAGTGCTCAGGGCCACTTGACTAGACTGCAGCAGAGCTGAGGCCCAGGCCTGGCTCCTGCTTCCTGACTCCTGACTCCCCAGCTTGTGCAGTGGCCAGAGCCCTGGCTAGTGTTGCTTGAGTAAGCACAGCATCTCACATGTCCTTCCCCTGACTCTAGGCCCCAAGTGAGGGATGAGGAGGTTCTAGAAAGTACTTCTGATGTGAGATGAACTTCTGGGCAGGCAGAAATACCTCCGTTTGTGTCCCTGTGTAGTTGGTCTGCTTGCTGACCATGTCAGTGGGCAAATGTCAGCCTCACTGTTCTTCTTCCTCCCCACGTGTAAAATTAGATGAGTGATAGGACAGGGTTCACGCTGCTACAGGTAAAAGGCCTTCTTTACATGGAGCATGACAGTGGTGATCTCTGCAGTGCAAAGTTGTAGTAATGGTGTTTAGTGGGGCGGTCCTCTCTGGAAGGTGATCCAGATCACAGCTTCTCAGGGGTGGTTCCTTTTGCTTCACTCCTGGACTCTTTGGGTGCTGTCCCTCTAGTTTGTGAACCTTGGCTGAGGGAGGGTCTTTGCTTGATTCTCCTGGGCCCCAGGAGCTGAGGCCTGGCCTGTCATCAGGTTCTCTCTGGGTGGACCCACTCAGGCCCCTGGCACAGGGAGGAGCTGTGTGACCTCCGTAGGCAACATCCCTGTGGAGTCTACATCAGAGCCCCTCTTCATGCTCTTGAGAAGCCATGAGGCGTGTCTGCGGAGCTGCTGTCACTGTCTTTTGGCTGGGAAGGGTTTGGTTTCCCTGGACTTCTGGGGGGAAGGGGAAGACACTGAAGCCCCAGCTTTGGGTGGGAGCTCCCTCTGCCCCAGACACCATGTTGCAAACCCTTGAGGAGTGTCTTGGACCAAAGCCCTCGTTTTTTCTCTGGAATTCTGAGTGCTGCAACCTTGCAGCCTCGCAACCTTGGTCTAGTTGGAACCAGATGAGTGACTGATCAGGAGATAGGCGAGCCTGTTACCCCCTGTCCATAGCCTGCCTCCTGGTACATGCTCCTCTTGAACTCTGGCCAGGTGGATGGGCTAGATCTGGACCCCACCTGGTATCTGAACCCCCTCTTGGCCGTGGCTACCATCTCAGTAGCCCTAGCCCATAGGTGGGGAGCCTCTGTCCCTCCTGGTGTAGCTCTACCACCTGCACCCCTGGTCCCACTCAGAGCCACCCCTCAAGGTGCTTCCCGCTGTTGTGTTCTCAGCCTCTTTCTATCAGTGCAGGGGACACACGGTATATCAGTCTGCAGCCTGTCTTTGTTGTGGCAAAGTCTCTGTATGAAAGGTGGGTTTTATTGTTTTGTTTTGTGTTGTTGTTGTTTTGAAACAGTACAGCTCTAGCTGACCTGTAACTCTGAGATTTACCTGCCTCTGCCTCCTGTGCCACTATGCCTGGCAGATCTGTGATTTTCACACGACCCACTATCATAATACTCTGCATTTTAGAAAGTCAGCATTTTAAAACATTTATCTGTCTATGTATGTATATGTCTGTATGTCACATGTGTCAAAGTCAGAGAACAGCTTTCAGGAATCTGTTCTCTCCTTCCACCATGGGTCCCAGGGATTGAACTCAAGTCAGCAGGCATGGTGGCAGAAGCCTTACCAACTGAGCCATCTCGACATCCCCAGAGTCAGCATTTTAAAATGTCTAAGAGAACACCTGTTATCAGTAAAACAGATGATGGCATGTATTCCTCTCCTTCTCCCTTTTGTACTTTGTGGAAAACAGAAATACTAATAATATAGGAAGCGGGTCTTAGGCTATGATTTGTCCAAGGGGGGCACAGGTTAAAACTAATTAAGAAATGCTGATTGAAAGCATACACTCAGGGAGGGAAGAGGCCAGCATTACCTTGCCTGGGTGTGCACTGGCCTTCCTGTGCAGAGGCTCTGGGGTCATGGGGACCATGCTGCCTGGACCTTTCATACCTACTAAGCACCCACATGGATGCTGGAGGCATGCCGCATTGGAGGCAGGTGGAAGCTGTGTATGGTGACACTTATAGCCCTAGCACTTGAGAGTTCTAAGCCAGCCCGGGCTGCATAGCAAGAGTTTGTCTCAAAACACAAACAGTAAGGCCATCCTTAAGGACTATGGAGGCCTTTAGTCTCTTGGGTGGAGGAGCAGTGTGCCAGCACTTGTTTGTGCACCTGTCTTATAGAGCATGGCATGATATTCACACACATCTCTTTCTTTCAAAGTGTGATTTCACAGGTGAAAGGCCGGTTTGAGAATGCAGACCCTCCTAGCTATTAATAGGGGCCCCTGAGCCTTGTTTCCGCTTGGTTTAGCAGGCCTGGAGCTGAGCAGGAACTGCCTCGCCCAGTGGTACTGGGGAAGGCCACAAGCCCTTTGTGAGTCTAGTAACTAGGCTTAGAGTAAGCAGACTTACTGAGCTTTTCTTGCATCTGGCTTGTTTTGTAGTGCTAGGGCAGAACCCAGGGCCTTGGGCATGCTAGACAAATACTCTGCCGCTGAGCCACATCCCCAGTGCTTGTATTTGGTTTTTGAACTTGATCCTTAGTAATGTGAGAAGGAGGGTGGCTAGGAGTAAGTGCTTCATAAGTATTTATTAGAGGCTGCTTCTGGTCCCCTGACTCCTGGTTCCCCTCCCGGGGGCTCTCTGTCCCAGCCACTTCTGCAGGGATGTTTGTGTCTGCTGAACCACATGTGTGCAGAATATTGTCTCACCCCATAGCTGCATTGCTCTTCACTGTCCTTTTTCCCCATAAGGTGTTTCTGATCACTCCAAGTCTGTGTGTAGACCTGCCTCAGTCTTTGAGCTCCAGAACATCTTACCACATACATAATTCACACATGGTCTCTACCTTGCAGCAGCCCTGTATGAAGCTAACGCTTGCTCTGTTGATGCTAAGATGCTACTTTCTGGAAAACACACCATTGTTGTATATAATATCCAGAAATGACAGTGCCCTATTGAATTAAGACCAACCACCAGCTATAAGACATGTCTGTCCCATAGTGTCAAAGCATGGATCATTATACACTCTAGGACTGATGGGAACAGCCTTGGTCTTCCTTGGTACCATGGAAACAGAGACTCAGAGGAGAGCAGCCCCATAGGGTGGGTCAGGCTGGGGCTTGTCCCTCTGTGTGACCTTACTAGCAGCCTCCATGTCACCATAGTGGTAGCACTTGTGCAGGGTGGTTCTGGAGGATGTCACTCAACAATCTGCCTGGCTGTACTCACTGTGGTTCATTTCAGTCACCGGGGTTTGGGAGCTCCCCTCCTCCCTTCCTTCTCTCCCTCCCAACACTCATTCTAGCGAACATTTCTGTTTCCCACTGTTCATGTGGCTCAAGCAAAATACACAAGGGTTCAAACCACCTAAAATTGCTCTGTGCTGGGTCAAAAAATGGGGACTCTGTGGACTGTTTAGTGTTACTCAGCTATGTGTCTGAATATAATCTTTGGTCATTTCATTCATTAAACAGAACAGTTTGCAAATATCAGGATAGTATTTCCTGACAACTTTGAGTCAGGAGTGCCAGAGCTAGCTTAGTGTTCTCAGACCAGACTCTGCTCTGCTAGGCTGGCTTCCTGTTCGCCACCTTCTTCTGCATCCTTGGCTGGCCAAGTCCCCTATCTCTATGCTTTGTCCCATCCAGGGAATCCTGCTGACCAGCTCCTGTCTCATTAGATCTGCTCCTGCTTTGGCTTTTGATAGCTTCCTTTTCTTCCTGGTTTCCCTTTACACAAAATAGGTGATGTCTAAACTGGAGCTTTTCTGTTTGCTCTGGAGTAGCTCAAAGGAGCGCTGGCCTTCCCTCCCTAAGGCTGAGTGTGGTGGCTTAGTCTCATGGGCCTCAAACAAGCACATTCTCCCCTCTTTGATCATTTCAGTGCTGCCTAGCTTCAAGGATTCCCTAGGCCAGGCCACCCCAGTGATGAATGATCTATCTGTATTCCACTGCCTTTTCCTCATGCACAGCCAGAGCCTGTGCAGTTTTAGACAGGACCCATCAGTTCTGCCAGCCTTGGATCACACCAGATGCCTAAAGGGGTTTGATCTTCTGCTTGCCCTTTGCAGGTGGTGGGGCTATGGTTGGGCTAGGAGGAGGTCCTTGAGCCTAACGCCTATCCCCACACAGGGAGGAGTGGATGCGGGCTATTCAGATGGTCGCCAACAGCTTGAAGCAGCGAGGCCCAGGTGAGGATCCCATGGACTACAAGTGTGGCTCCCCCAGTGACTCTTCTGCATCTGAGGAGATGGAGGTAGCTGTCAGCAAGGCACGGGCCAAAGTGGTAAGTGCTGGGGCTGGTGGCCAGGGGTTGGGGCTGCACCAGCCCTGCCTGCTTTGGTCTCTACACAAAATATGCAGGGGCCCAGCAAGAGGCTTCATAGCTTCCCAGTGTGGGATGGCTTCTGGTTACAGATTGCTGCAGGGGCTACCCCCACCGCAGGGAAACTGCTCTGGCTTTATTGGGGAAGTCGGAAGCCTTATGCTTGGGAGAGCTTGGTCCTGCAGTGACTTTAGCAAACAGTTGCTGTCTGGAGTTACCCTCCTGCCCAGCTAAAGCCTTGGGCCACAACATCTTTTGGTTTTCCTCTTTCTTTGATCAAATTTTGCCCCATGGGCCAAGTGCCAGATACTGAAACCCTGTGCTTGTCCTACCCACAGACCATGAACGACTTTGATTATCTCAAGCTCCTCGGCAAGGGCACCTTTGGCAAAGTCATCCTAGTGCGGGAGAAGGCCACTGGTCGCTATTATGCCATGAAGATCTTGCGGAAGGAGGTCATCATTGCCAAGGTGGGCCACTGGGCTGTGGGGACCCCCTTAGAGGTATCAGATTATCGTTAGAGCAACTTTAGATCTGATTGGTTTTATTTGTGGTCTGTGAATTCAGGCAGCTTCTGTTCTATAGAAAAGCTCCTGCCAGGCCAGGGCAGAGTACTGGGTTTTGGAAACAGAACATGGGGAAAACAAGGAAACAGAACACGGGGAAAAGCTGTTTGATGTTGGGTTATCTCCAGCTGCCGTTGACTGGGGCTAAAGCAGAGGGGACTTTCTTATGTGATCAGTCGCCTGTTTTCAGGAAAAAGTGGTCTGCCTACAATGTGACTGTTTCTGCTGAAGCCTAGTACGGAAGCTCAGTCCATCACAACGGCCTGTGAAGGCTGAGGATGTGACTCAGTGGAGCACTTGCCTAACATGCTCAAGGCCCTGGGTTCCATTCCTAGCACCAGCAACTTAAGATTACAAAATAATGACCATTTATCACTGAGCTCTATCCCAGCCTCTTCATTCTGTTTAACAGGCCATTGTCTGGTTTTAGACCATGCTTGGGAGCTCTTTCAGGACTGGGACACTCATACCTCCCATCTGCTGTGTAATCTTATTTTCCTCCATGTGTCCCATCTTTGACTACCAGTTCCGTAGGACCACCATCAGAGAAGAGGAGCCCAAGCCCAGAGAGGCCTGGGCCTGCCTTTGTGTGCCCTACTTCCCCCTCTGGGCTGTGCACAGAGAGTCTGTCTGGGATTCATCTAGGAGATGCTGTTTGGAAGCTGAGTCAGGAATGGAATTCCCGGGAGGAAGGAACTCAGTGGTGGGAGGAAGGTGTTCAGTGGTAGAGCACCTGCTGGGTTGGTGTAAGTCCCTGGGATTGATTTCCCCAGTAAAGCAGTTCTTCTGTTTTTCCTTTCTTTCCTTATCTTTCTTTTGTTTTTGTTTTTTGTGGGTTTTTTTTTTTTGCCTTATTTAAAGCTTTTATAATAGAAGATTCTAAACATGTATATAACTTTTTAAGAAGAAAAATAAACATCATAGACTGCTGTGTGGTCATGATTCAATTGAGCAGTTATCAACACAGAACCAGTGTTTGATTGGCCCTGTCCTTCCCTTTCTTTAATCTGGAGTATTTTAAGGCATTTTGGCTGGGGGGGGTGTGGGGCACGACAGGATCTCTCTGTAGCCCCAGCTGGCCTGGGACTAAAGGTGTGCGCCACCACACCTGACTTTTTAAGGCATTTTCTAGATGTACCACTTTCCCCATGCATTTTGTTGTTGTTGTTATTGGTTTTTTTTGTTTGTTTGTTTGTTTGTTTTTTGGGTTTGTTTTTTTTTTTTTTTTTTTTTTTGGTTTTTTTGGACATTTTTTTTGGTCTTTTTGAGACAGGGTCTCCCTGTAGCCCCAGCTGTCCTGGATTCACTATGGAGACCAGGCTGGCCTTGAACTCACAGAGATCCACCTGCCTCTGCCTCCCGAGTGCTGGGATTAAAGGCGTGCGTTGCCATGCCTGGCAACAGTAAGTCTTTAAAAACAAAAGTACTCCTGGGTTCTTGGTGTAGTTGGTCCAGGCAGGACTTCACAGATCCAGCACTACTGATACTATGGGCCATGTCTTCTTCACTGTGTGGGACTAGCCTGTGCACTGTGGGTAGCAGCATCCCCAGCTCCATCTGCAGAGGCCACTAGCAACCTCTCCATGTGATCATCAGAAATAACCTCAGACATCCCCAGTAGCTCCTGAGTATAAGCCTGTGCCCAGGCTATTGAGGTAGCTGAGAGTTTGGAACCTCTCTTGTGGTCCTGCCCTTGGGCAGACACCAAATTTTGACTTGTGCTCGAGTGGCTCAGAAGGCTTATGAGGTGGCACTTTCTCCATGCCTACTCGAGTTTCTGACTCAGTGAGACTTAGTAGGCCCAGAGAATTTGCATTCCATAAGTTCCCAGGGAGGCTGATGCCACATGCCCATGTGAGGGCCACACCCTGAGAAATACTGCTGTGCTCTAAAACCTTCACTACATCTAGTTCCTTCTACAGAGCTGGTGATTCTCATATCCTGTTGTGGGACCTCAGGGATCACATACTATCTGCTTTTCCCCCTTTAAGTGCATATGTTAGTCAGCGCTGTGTGACATTACATGAGGTAAACAGTTTGTAAGGAGCAAAGGTTTATTTTGGCTCAGTTCATAGGTTTCAGTTCGTGGTTGCTGTGCTCTGTGGCTTTTAGCTTCTGGAGACACGTGATGGGGAGTATATGACAGAGGAGGGCTGTTTGCCTCATGGTGGCTGGGAAGTAAAGAGAGTAGAGGACCCGGGTTCCCAATTTCCTCTTCGAGGGCCCTATTCCCACAAGTCCACTACCTGCCAAGAGAACTGCAGGCAGCAGGGCAGGCCCCGAGCACATGGGCGTTTGGGGTCATCCAGGACCCCAGCTACAGCAGGATGTTAATGCTTGGCTTGGGGTCAGGTGGTGGTGTCCCATCAACTGTTGTTCACCTTGTGGCTTTGGGATGACCCTTGTCCATTTGGTCAGAGCCTGAAGATGGCCCTGCTCTGCTTCTGCCACTCTTCTGTTCTGACTGCTATGTGTGAGGCCAGTTTCATTTGGATGTTGCCCCTAGGTCGGCATGGAGTGGGCAGGTGTGACACTCATTGACACTGTCTGTCCACAGGATGAAGTTGCCCACACAGTCACTGAGAGCCGGGTTCTGCAGAACACCAGGCACCCCTTCCTCACTGTGAGTCTCTCCTCCCCGGCCAGCCCTGGGGCAGAGTTCTGGGAAAGAGCCAAAGCCTTGCTATATGCACAGCTGGGGTGTGGGGCCAGGTAGGCTGGGCAAGGCATTACCAGGCTCCCCAAACTGCTTGAACTTCAGGACACTGGGGGTGGTGGCTGCATGTAGGTACCTCTGCTGATGGGAGAGATCACATCACAGGGTAGGTAGTCGAGGAGCATGGCTCCTGTCTTTGGAAGTGAGGGGTGCTTAGCCCAGCTGGCCCAGGTGAGGGGATTACTTTTTAGTTTTGTTTTTAAGAGACCATAGGAGCATTCATGTCATCACTGTGTTGCCAGTTAACTTGGGCTGAGTATGAGTAGTTGCCTCTTTAAAGGGAAGACATCTTTGAGACTGCAGGCTTTGTGAAGCCTGTGACTGTCAAGTTTAGTGGACTAGGTTGGGGGTGCCATTTCTTTGGCTTAGTTGCTGCACTATGAAGCCACACAACTTGTTCACATAAGATCTTATGAGATACCTCAGTGTAGAGGCCAGAACCATACGGCTATGGTTTCTGTGAGCAGGGGGGTTTGCCAGGGCATCCCTGAGGATTGGGCTCCTTAGGGCACAGCTTGAGAGCTACCATTGGCTGACAGCTTGTCTATCCCGTCTTTGGCGTCCGCCCCTAAGCTGTTGTCACTCCCCGCCACAGTGAACAGTGTATGTGTGGCAAGAGGGTGGCGGGGCGTGGGGCAGGCGGGGCCCAGGGCGCTGGTGTATCTCATTATTCAAACAAGAGAAGAGAAGTGATCAGAGCATACTTTCTCCTCTGGGCGTTCCTGGGATTTGAATCCACACAGTCACAGGCTGGGCAGGGAGTCACAGGCTCCTACTCCCCAACTGGCAGAGCTTTCCTTCTGTCCCAGCACTCTGGTTCCCTTCACAGGCCCTGAAGTATGCCTTCCAGACCCACGACCGCCTGTGCTTTGTGATGGAGTATGCCAATGGGGGTGAGGTGAGCTGTGCTGCAGCTGCTTCTGGCTGTTTCTTTCTAATGGTTGTAGGATGGGGGGAGGCAGAGAAGAATTGGGTGAGATGATACAGGGTAAGAGAGACTTACTGAATGTCCCCAAATTCCACTCTGCCCCCCCCCCCTTGAAGCAGGTAGCATGATCTCTATGTTGCAGGTAGGAGACCTGAGGAAGTTAAATGACTTGCCCAGGTTCATATAGCTGCTGTGTTTCTGGACAGGATATGAAGCCAGGAGCAGAGGCTGTGGGTGGTGGCTGGTAGTACAAGGAAGGATGTGCTTGGGGACTCCTGAGAAAGCGCCCTGGCTCTTGACTCCAGCCCTCTGACTCCCTTGCCTAGAAACTTGGCTTCCTGTGACTGTTACTGCTGTCACCTGTGTGCCTTCATGGCTTGCTCTGTACACAGGGCACACTTGTTGGGACCACTAGTCTCCTCTCTCACAGCTTGTCCCTCACTTTGTGACTTGTGCTGTTCCTTGCTTCACTACTGTTGCTCCCTGCCTGTCCTGCCTCTCTGTCCTTCCCCTCCCCCCTCTCCCCCCCCCCCTCGCCCCTCCCTCTCTGCCCCTGCCTCTCTGTCCCTGCCTCTCTGTCCCTGACTCTCTGTCCCTGACTCTCTGTCCTGCCTCTCTGTCCCCGGCTCTGTCCCCGGCTCTGTCCCCGCCTCTCTGTCCCTGCCTCTCTGTCCCGCCTCTCTGTCCCTGCCTCTCTGGCCCTGCCTCTCTGTTCTGCCTCTCTGTCCCGGCTCTCTGTCCCTGCCCCCCGGTCCTGCCTCTCTGTCCTCCCTCTATGTCCCTGCCACTCTGTTCTGCCTCTCTGTCCCGGCTCTCTGTCCCTGCCCCCCGGTCCTGCCTCTCTGTCCTCCCTCTATGTCCCTGCCACTCTGTTCTGCCTCTCTGTCCCGGCTCTCTGTCCCTGCCCCCCGGTCCTGCCTCTCTGTCCTCCCTCTATGTCCCTGCCTCTCTGTCCCGCCTCTCTGTCTCTGCCTCTCTGTCCCTGCCTCTCTGTT